CTAAATTACCCCTTTCCCCCCTTTTCAGCCAAACCACAACTATTTTCAAATCACCTTCAATGATTAGCCTCACAATCCCCTTTCTTTACCTTTCTCTATCCCATAAACTGCTGCCATTAGTTCTGATCTGACCACATTACCTTGCTGAACAAGGCCTGAATACATGGCTAATATGTTTCCATCCTCTTCCTTTATTACCCCTCAAATACCTGAGGGGCCAGGATTGCCCAAACCACTACCATCCAAATTCAATTTCTTCCACCTATCACTTGGGTGGGGGGACCAAGCCTCATATATTTTTTGTCTTCTGGAGGAAGAATTAGCAATTATTCCCCACGAACTGAAGAAATCTTCAACTTTAAAGTCTGTTTTCACCCAATGTGCCACTCTTAGAGTTATAACCTCTATCACAGCTTCCTTACTCCTTTCTTTGTCTTCAAAGATTCTTAAATTCCTTTCTTCCCAAATTGTCCAAACCACTGCTGTTCTGGTGCATCTTCTCAAATTATAACATATGATTCCTAGATACGGATTTGGAACAGATAAGGAAAGCAGGAAACTGCCTATCCAGTTTTTAAAATCCTAGATGCTGACAAGTGTATCCCATATAAATATGCTTAATGCTTATATGTTATATCATGCTTTTAGTATATAGTTTTCGAAGCAAGTATTATTTCTCAAGACTTGTCTCTTGCTAAATGTAATCAAGTTTTTAACATATATAGTTTTTTTATAATTTGACTTGTTAAAACATATAGTTCTATGTGTTTTGTAAGTGTTAGTATATCTAGAAGTGCCCATGCAATTCTATTTTATGTATTGTATTCAACAATGTTGGGGTAGGCATTACAGATATCCAAGTATCATTGATTACAACATTAAATTCAAATGAATTAGAAATACACTGTTCAGTAATATTTTATTATTATTATTGTTGTTGTTATATTTGAATAGGTGAGGTAGTGTACTGCTTTGATAAACTGATTACATATCCATCAGCTATGTACACAAAAGAAATATATGTGGATCTTTACATGGTATAGTACTATAGTTAGTATGATATTAACATATTAACAAAATATCCTAGTCAAAAAATCTGTTGGATAAACCTTTAAAGTATTTATTGAGAAGCTAGCTATGAACACAGAAATAACAGAGTGCCTTCGATTCTCCCAAACACCACTGTTCATATGCTAGTTAACACTTGTGCATTTCTTTCTGACCACACACACCTGAACATGGTCAACGATACTAGACCCCATATTGCTTTCCCTCTCTTTTTTCAACCTTCAAGCTGCCAACATTGCAGAAAATGAGTGCTAGACTCTGGAAAACAACCACTCCACCCAAAAATATCTGGTACCACATACCACATATTTACTATAAAATGGAATGCAGAATTAGATGGTTTTCTGTCCACACCAGTTAATTAGAGGCCACAACTAACATTTTCCAGTGGCATTCTCCTCATTGGCCTACCAACAGTTAGACATTTCCCTAGAGTTGCAGTCCATGCCAGGAACTTCACTTTAGATGGTGTTACTAGGCACTACCGCACCAGATTGTGTGGCTGGGAAAATAATTGCTAGGATGCAGTCTGGCCTCTTGAAGAACAATTTGCTAGGAAACAAGTTTTCTTTCATGAAAATTAAATTTGATACATCATGGTTATTATCCAATAATCCATATTCTATATTGTGAAAACAAATTTTCCCTTTCATGAATTAACATATTCAGAACATAATGGATTTTTTAGGTCCTGCACACATGCATTAAGAAGTCTACACAATCAAATGTCAAAATTATGTATACTACTAGAAAGCAACACGGTTGTCAGTTATCTATATCTTCTAGGTTTCTTCCCCTAGCCATCTTTCCAACAATTGCCTAGGAGGCAAGTGCTTTCCATTTCCTGATTGTTTAATCACTACTTACAATGCCATTCTTGGGGTGTCTATTTACCAGAGTAGGTCCTGTTGATGCATTAACAACGAAGTTAGTAACCACAACCAGGTGATGTTGTCATGGGTCACTTATGGGTACCATCTTAGCAAACCCTTGCCCATTTGACACTATACTTGGGTTAGGGTGAAATGCGCCATTTCCAGAGAACATGCTAGCAGTGTTTTAGTGTGGGAGGCATACGCCTCCAGGCGAGGTGCCCCCAAAACGCCCTGAGGCATATGCCAGAGGCGCTGACACCTCTGAAGTGTTATGCCTCAGGTGCAAGAGGCGTACGCCTCATACGCTTTTTTCATGAGGTGTGCTAGAGGCGTACGCCTCATGCACACCTCATGTAAAATAATAATAAAAAAAGAAAGAAACATTGCGTGCTAGCATGAGCACCTCACACCTCTTACATTCTAAACTATGCCTCGTGCCTCTAGGTAGTGGAACACCACATGTCACGCCTCCGCATTTTAAAGCATTCCATGCTAGCATGAGCACAGTGAGAGTTTGGTAAATGTTCTAGTCCCAACTTCCAACCTGATAGATGGTGTAAGACAAGCTCACATTGGTCTACCTTCAGATGTGCTGAGAGAAGAGGGAGAGTGTTGTCGAGATGTTCTAGGGATTCTTTGGTTTGGACAGTCTGGGAGGAAAGAAACGCTAGGATCTTTAATGATAAGGAGAGGGATGGGCTAGGATCTTTAATTGATCTTTAATGACCAATCAGACTAAAGCTATGGATCTTTTCTCATAATTCTCCTTTTTCGACCTTTGGAGAAATTGGGAATTGGTTGCTAAATCTTCTTTGGTTAAGGACAAATCTATAGTAGCTTGCATAGTTTTCAAGGCGTCTAGGCAATTCTGGGCAACACTGGGGCACCTAGTCGCCTAGGCGATAGAAATTTTATAATATAAAAAACTGACTTTTGGCTAGTTTCCTAGTTTTATATACCATTCAGCATGTATGTTAATTGAAAAAATAGCAATTCTCTTTATTAAGAACATTAAATTTCCTCTAAAAATGTGGCAAATCATCACATCTAAAAGATAAGAATCTTTTACATATATTAATTTCATTATTTTCGAAAAAATACTACTATAATAGGTATTTAATAGAGGAAATTCATATTAATTAGCAGCTAAAGAAGGTTATTAACTTTATATGATAAATATTCAAGATAGAAAGTAAAATAGAAAAAAAAACAAGGATGGAGTTTGTGTTTTATTTAATTAGAGAGAGAGAATAGAAAAAAAAGAACTTTATTATTATATTCTTTCTTCCCTCTTTCATTTCTTTCTTTCTTTCTTTCTTTCTTTTTCTCTCCTCAAAACCCTTTGATTTTTTAAATTTCAATAGTAAAACATTAAAACAAAGTATAATTGATATATATATATATATATATATAGCATATAATAAAATGTATTAACACATACATTAATAAGATACAGCAATATAAATGATATTATAAAAGGTGCCTGCCTTGTCATTTTTGTTGCCTAGGTAGGCGCTTAGTCACTTAGGCGGGCACCTAGTTGCTAAAAGTCAAATCATTTAGGCAAGGCGCCCAGCCAAGGGCGCCTAGTCGCCTAGGCAGGCGCCTAGTCGCCTAGGCAGGCGCCTAGTCGCCTAGGCGACGCCTTGACAACTATGCTTGGAAGGCCCCTAAAGAAGGCTTTATCAAGCTAAACGTTGATGGTAGCAGTCTCATAATTCTGGGCCTTCTGGTATTGGATGAGTTTTTAGAAATGCAGAGGGTCAAATTGTTGCCTTATTTTCTGGTCTAATTGGAGTGGGGGATGCAGTTAGTGCAGTGGTTCAAGCAGTTTTACAGGGATTGCTAATGAGCTGAGCTTTGGGAGTTTGCTAATTTATGGTGATTCTAAACTGGTAGTTGGGTGGCTGAAAGAGCCAGAGACTGTAGCTTGGTCCTTTAGGGGGGTGATGAGAAGATTCAAGTGGCTAACTTCCAACATAATAGTGAGAGTTAAGTGGGACAGGAGATTGGCTAATGGGTTGGAAGACTTTCTAGCTAATCACGGGGTGCATAGGGATCATTTATTTTGGCCTCAATTGTAATCCTGATTTGTTTTTGAGGCTGCAGCTCATGCCTCTTTATGGAATTTCTATGCTGTATCCTTTGATAGTTCTTATTTGATCTTTAATAAAATGCTTCTTATTACTTACAAGCTCACACTGGTGGAGTTGGCATCTTATTGTGTCAGACACTTACATATTCAGTATAAATTCTGTATCCTACATGCCCAGCTGTAGGGGGTGCTGGCTTATTTTTGAAACTGAACTGGTACTACTGGTTTTTCAGAAACTGGTAACCGAAACCGAACTGAAGCTGATTGGTTAACCAGTTGACCAGTTTGGTTTGTGGTTTTTGGTTTTTTTTTATGTTATACTATATATTATAAATAATATATAAATATATAATAAAGACCTAGAAATACATATAAAATATTATCTTTTAAATAATAACTAATATATTATATATTGTAAATATATATTTATATATAATGCATATTTATTAATTTATAATATGTGGATAATATAAAATATATAATTACATAAACATACATATAATATATAGAAATATATGTATACCAGTTGGTTCAGTTAACTGCCAGTTTTTTCTTGGTTAACCGAAACAGAACTGGTACCTTTGGTTTTTAAAAATACCAAACCAATACTGAACTGACCAGTTCCGTTAACTGAAATTTTTTGGTTCGGTTTCGTCGGTTCGGTTCGGTTTTTTAGTTTTTCTTGCTCACCCCTATCCAACTGTGTCATTGCCATATCTGGGTAAACATAAGTTAGGAATGAACATTCTGAAATAGGTGCTTTTAGGTCTGGTAACCATAATCTAGACATTCTTTTTCTTGGTAGTGCATTTGTTTTGTAATATACTCATTGAATGTTGTACCTATTTTCTGATGATGGAAGTATTTGTGCAGTTTGGAGCTACTATGCTTATATTGTATAACATGATTCCTTGTTTATAAGTTGCCTTTTGCTAATGTATTTATACTTTTTAACTCACTAGGGATCATCTCAAGTTGAAAGAGGATTTAGTATGCATTATGTAAGTGGGAAAGTTAATGTGAGAGCAGAATCCGGGATATGTAACGTCTGCGCTACTCCTTGCTCATCCTGTATGCATTTTAACCGAGCTGCATCCTTCATGGGATCAAAGTCTGAGTTTTCAGATGAAACTTCTCAAGGAAAAGCAGCTAGTCGGTGTTCTTTAAATGATGCCAATGTGCCACATCCTTCGAAGAGCAGAGCATGCAGTGATGGACAACCTACATTTAGTGAAACAAGTAACTTGCTCAGTGCCAGTTCAAGTCATGACTCAATCTCCGAAAACGCTGAAAGTAAAGCAACCTTGAAGACCTTTGATGCGTCAGATGCGTCTGAAGATGTTGAGATGCTTCCGAAACTCTCTTCAGGTGGAACCGGTGGGGAAGATCAACCTATTTCAAAGGTACAGTGGATTTCTCAGACTGCCGTAACATCATTGCAAGGTTGTCTTGCATCAGATTTGGGTCAGAGAACTTATTCAAACCAGTTTGAGGAGCAGAAAGGTTTAGAATGCCATGGTGATAATATTTCATGTGTTAGTGGAGCTAATGAGGCAAATGTGGCAGTTGTAGATCTTAATGTGGACATAAACAGGAAAAATTTACCATGTAATTTGGCTTCTGTTAGCAGTTCTTCTCCAGGGGGTACGGACATAACACTTTCTGCTCAAAATACTTCAAGTTGTATTGATGATTTGAATTGTAAAATAGAGGAGAGCAGAAATAACTCTAGGTGGCCAAGCACAGTCGCCATAGAATCTCTATACAAGAGAAGTACTAATGCTGCTACACCCCCAGTATTAACTCCAAAGCCAGAGCCATTAGATATACCTTCCTCAAAAGATGTTTATCCTATCAGGGTTTCACGAAAAGTTCAGAGTCCCTATTCTCATTCTCAAAATGGTAACTCAGTCTCCCATGATACAGATGGGAAGGATTTGGAAGAAGATTCAAGTTCACATCACCGGGAAGAACCCTCTGAATGTTCCACAGAACATGTTAAATCTTCATTAGGACAAGTTGTAGAGTCCAACAGTGCTACAGGAAAAACTGTTCCACTTAAGTGTGCTAAAATTGTTCCACAGTTAGAAAACGGTAAAGCTAGCCTTAGCAGAAGTAACTCTTGTGGGGCTTCAATGAAAGTTCATCCGTGCTTAGAATCTGAACCTGCCTTGGTTAACGGGGACCCATCAACTGAAACCATAAACTGTTTTGTCAAAAATGAACAAGTTGATAAGCCATGTGCATTGGCCAAGGTAGCTGATATGCTTGAGCCTCCTTTGCAGTCTGAGCCTGTTGATGAGAGTGATGGATCAGATATTGTTGAGGATGATGTAAGTACTGACATTTTCTTATTTTCATGGTTTTCTGGGACAAGCACACCTTTTCTCTATTAGATGCTATTCTTGTTCTGATTCTAATAGGAAATATCTGTCTTGGAATTTGTTGGGCTCTCCATGTTCTTTGCAGTATTATAATTATTAAGTTCATTTTTTACAACTTGTTGAATCTGAATTAATATTGTGTTTACATGTCCCTGTGAAAGCGACCGCAATCTTGCATATGTCCTCATGTCAAGATTATAAAATCTTGAGATTGAATTTTGGGGAACAAATTTAAAATCTCTCTCTCTCTGACTATCATAAATGTGAAACAATAGCAGAGAATGGGGAGAGATTGCACAGAGTGGGGGGGGGGGGAGGAAGAGATAAGGAGAATTGAAGAGAAACAAAGGCACTGAGCTCTTGCTTCTGTTAGTACACTCACATGCATGTGCATGCGCACGCACACACACATTGGGGAGAGAGAGTTCTAGTTTCTGTTCTTACAGGAGAAAATGTACCTAGAATATTTCCTGATTTCTGGGGGGAGTTAAGAGAGTTTATCCCCCCTGCCCTTGTACTTATTCTTAATTATCTAATGAATTGATTCTGTTATTGATAAAAAAAGAATATTTCCTGATTTCTTCTGCATTCAGTCTTCAGAGTTTCAGAGTCATTGCTTCAGAACCTCACTGTCTGCATCCCTCCAGCCAAGTATCCATCTCCAACCCCTAAAGAAATGGAATAATTGCATTAGTAACTAGGTAAATGTAAGTCTTAAATATACTTACGTGCTACATCCACCCAAAATCTTCCTCTTTATTTCGAATTATAAAAGAAATTCATTAAAAAAAAAGAGAATACAAAAGGAAGGTGTTTAGTTATCACTTGAAAGAGAAATACACTAAGAAACAGCTTATAACCATTGAAACCAGATGACAAGACTCAAAAAGGGACAAAAACCAAACAACACCAGACTCTCCCGACGATTCCACACACCTCCACCTGCTCCGAAACCAAGCAACACCTTGAAAAGCCATCTTCCTAATCCCCCCCTCAAACACTTCCTCCTGCCCATCATCATCCTTATCCCAAATCTCCCCCCTTTCTCAATTACAACTTTATTCATCCTGTCTTCCTTCTTTCTCCTATCAAAGTCCTCAAAGGCTTTTCTAGCAAACTCCTTACCACCCCAGAAAAACAAGCCAAGGCTTTTGCCATCCTCTACAGCTTTCTCAGCAATTTTCTTATTAGGTAAACTTCCGAACCTCTGCCTTTTTTTTTTTTTTTTTTTTTCAGAGCTACTGAGTTATTGTTCATAGAGGAGGAAGTACTAGCTCCGACTGGTCTTGGAAAAGAAGAGAAGGAAAAAAACTTAAGCTTCAATTTGTTTTGATGATTAACAGAAAAACTTTTATTAATAAAAAAATTTAAATACAAAAGTGAGGGGAGGTGAACTCTCTTATCTCTCCCCCTAAAGAGAAAATTACAATGTAGCCCAAAACAATTGCCGTCTTCCCACCCCCTGTTTGGCCATTGCGTCTGCAAAAGAATTGATATACCTTTTAACCCACTGTATATGCACTTCCATTCCCTGAGTTAACCACTTGAATTGTCTTCACTCATTAATGTATGTCCATAACCCATCATTTGACTTCTCTATCCAGCCAATTACCACTTGTGAATCTCCTTCAATGATCAACCTATTTATATTTAATTCCTTAGCCATTTTCACCCCCCCTATCAAGGCCAGAATTTCTGCTCACAGTGAGTCCCCAAATCCAATTGGGTCTGAATAAAGAGCTACCACCGATCTTGCTTCCGATTTGAAGACACGACCTATCCCTGATGGCCCTGGGCTTCCTGCACTGCTCCCATCAAAATTGAGCTTGATAAAGCCTTCCGTTGGGGGATGCCATGAAGGCTGGGTGATAGTTTCTGCTTGGAGCTGAGGTTGCTATTTACTGCCAGTTATTAACAATGGCCTCTAGGGGAACGTCATCAAATATGTTCACTGTTTTTACCCACTAGACCACCCTCATAGTAATCACCTCTATAATTGTCTCTCTGCTTCTTTCTTTTTCAACAAAGATTCTTTGGTTCCTTCCCTCCCATATTGTCCATAAAACCGCTGTCCTAGTGCACCTCCACAGGATTCTTCCCCTCCTTTTGATCCAACTACCAACATAATAGACGAAGAGGTTTTAAGTGCTTGAAAGGGGAGTCCACCTGCAACGAAATAAAGAAAGAAACCACTCCCAAATAGAAGAAACAAAGGGGCATGATATTAGTAAGTGAAAGCAGGACTCACCATTGGCTTTACAAAGGGTACACCTGTGTGGGAACAAGCATCAAAAAGTTTCTTTTTGTTTTTTTGAATTTGATCGCAAGTATTAATTCTTCCCAGAGCTATTTCCCAACAAAGAGCTCCAACCCTAGGTGGGATTGGTCTCCCCCCCACTTCTTTCGTAGGGAAGGGAAGGGCAGAAGGAGTAGGTTGAGTTAGGGCATTGAAAAAGAGGCACAAGTGAAAGTGCTAGAGGAGGAAAGGGTCCAAATAGTATCTGCCATAGAAGGGTCTAAGAAGACTTTTTGCAAAGTTTGAACTAAAGACAAAATTGAAACCAATTCTTATTCTCCAAGACCTCTTCTAAACCCCAAATAGTGATTCAAAAGGCGTGCCTAGGCGCACAGGTGAGGCGCATTTTTGGGTAGGTGCTTCCCCCAGGTCCTAGGCATAGCCCTTTCAAAAGCCGCATGCCTGGTGCGCCTAGGCGTGCACTTGGTGCGCCTTGCGCCTCAGCCCAGGCATGCGCCTTTTGAAAATTTGACGCTTTTTTGCTTTTTCTTTTTGAGTCTAGCGGTTAGGTCGGGGCTCCGCCCTCGGACCCCTGTGCTACGCCCCTCAAGGCAAGCCCATACAAGTCCATGTTAGGGTCTTAAATTCGACTTCGCTCGCTCATTGAAGCTTCGAGAATCCTCTATTTGGTAATGTTGTCTATTCATTCATCCTAATAAAATATCTTCTTAAAAAGTAATTAAAACTTTGAAAACTATGGTTTTTAAAAATGAACCGGTGACCGAACCGATCAGGGGTCCAGTTACCGGTTTGAACGGTTAACCGGCCGGTTCAGCGGTTTGCTGACCAAAATCAACGGTTTTGAGGGAAAAAGCGGTTTTGGAGGAAAACGGAACCGGTCAGGTGACCGGTTCCCGGTTTTTTCGGTCCAACCGTCCGGTCCGGTCCAGCTTTGAAAACAGTGGTGAAAACTAAGAATTTAAGACCCTAACACGAACTTGTTTGGGCTTGCCTTGAGGGGCGTGGCACAAAGGCAGCTCGTAGAATTAGGAATGTAATATGTCACATTAGCTACTTGAAGTAATGTAATTGAGAAAAAAAAGAGATTGTGTGTTTTATATGGTTGAAAATGTTTTACATGTTTGATTTTATTTTTAAATTCTCATTTGAATATGCTTTACATGTTATGGTTATGTATTTTAATTTTAGATAATAGGTTTTTTTTAAAACATTTATTTTAAAATTTAAGTTTATATCTTTATTAATATTATGTTTAATAATTTTTTGATTTTTTTGCACCTTGCGCTTTTAAAACACTGACCTCAAATCCCAATTGAGTTCAGACCCTGTACCAAAGGAGGCAACAAAGGTGGATGCAATCTTATTTTTGTACCTAGAAAGGGAGAATAAGGAAGGGAATTGATCTTTAAGTGGTACCTTCAACTCACAAGCATTTATGAACTCATTAAACTTTCTCATATTGGTGGTTACACTTATTAGAGAAAGGATAGGCAGTGGAGAGATTTGCTTACCCTTTGTATGGTCAGAAGACCAGCTTTCTTATTGTCTCACTAAAGGCCTTCATCATCCAAAGTTTGCCAAGAACCTAGACAAGTTGGGCATGATTGACATATGCTCAGCTTGAGGGGGAGTGTTGAGATTGTTTGGGGGCAAGGGTATTTTTGTCATTTTTGCTCATTTGTATTTGGGTACCCATGGGAGGGCTTGTAATTTCTCTCAAAATATAAAATCTCAAGTTTGAGAGAGTGAACAGTAACTCTCCTCCATTTGTAACTCTCTTTCTCTCTTCTTCTCTTCCCTCTTCTTCTCCTTGTTTTCTTTCTCAATAAAACCCTAGATATTGCAAGTGTCTACAGCAAATCTCTTTCATAGGGAAAGAATGTGCGGTCATAGACAGTTGTGAAAGGACCTCAAAGAAGAATGCACAAAAGAAAGAGCCAGTAGGGTATGGAGTCCAAATCCTAGAGTTGGGTTTAAGGGGATTCAGAAACACTCCATAGAGAATTTGATGGAGTCTAAGCACATTTCAAGAGATCAGAGTCCCTAATATGGTAATACCTTGATGAATACTGAAGTCCCAATCAAAACCAAAATGTGAAGCGGATGGTGCAATGAAGTTTGACACAAAATGTAAAAGCCCCAGGTGGTTAATTCAGTTATAATTATCAAAACCGTCAAAAAACTTAGACCTGGTCAGCATTTTGGGTCATGGTTTCATTGACCATCCTGGCCAAGAGCAGTTTGGAAACATTGGTTTTGAGCAATGTGCTTTGAGAATATTTGTTTGAATAAATTCCATGTTTTAAGTCCAAATCTGGTATGAAGCTATAAAATCTGATGTTTATAGTGTATTTTTGGTTGCCTAAATTTTTGTATTGTTGATTTGGGCAGATTATTAGGAAGACGGAAGTCTGAAAATATATTTTCCAATTTCCCTTGGCAATCCAAGAGAATAAAAACAATGTCATTCTGTTCATAAGAAACCATCCACTACCTATATAGCAGAGTTTCTTAATGCACATTGAAAGAGAAATGGAACTGCATTTGCACCATAGTCTCACCTGTATTTTAATTCCATGAGAAGGCACTGACTGGGCCCAATTTCTCACAGTTTTCTGGGGCTATATTTTCATCTTTACAGCACTATTTACTTCTCATCAGAATGCCATTCTATGATAGAGTGGGATACTGACTTGTGCCATCTGGAAACAGGTAAAGGTTTGTGATATCTGTGGTGACGCAGGTCGGGAAGACTTGCTTGCCTTTTGTAGTAGGTGCAGTGATGGGGCTGAGCACACGTAAGCACTTTGAATCTGTTTTCTTATTATATTCAAGTATTGTTTCTGTTTTTATCTATTTTTTATCTGGATGCACATCTTTAAGGTGGCACATTTTGTTCTATTTTTTGTCAATCAGTTATTGCATGCGATTAATGTTGGATAAGGTCCCAGAAGGTGACTGGATGTGTGAAGAATGCAAGCTCAAGGAGGATACTGAAAAACAAAAGCAGGATGAGGTCGAAACTACATCAGGGTTTTCTAAAGAACCATACCTAAGCGAAAGAAGTCAAAATTCTGGAGGTGCCAGTACTGTCAGTTCAAAGATGATGATGAAGGTGGAATTGAAGGCGCCAGATTCCGAGGGAAACAGGAGTGCCAAAGTTATCTCAAGTTCCCTTCTGTCTGTTAAGAGGCATCTAGACAATTCTGAGGTTGCTTCGGCAGAAAAAAGGCAGGCATTTGATACAAGCGTAGGATCTCCAAAGGCCTCCAGCCCTAGCAAAAAGCCTTTATTGTCTCGAGAAAGTTCATTTAAGAGTTTGGATAAGGGGAAAGTAAAGACCATCCATAAAGTAGCTTCATTTGGAAGCCACTTTGCTAATAATTCTCATGAAATTGCACATTCTCCTACTACTACAGGTCCTAACCCTTCAAGGATCCAATCACGACTTCAGTCACCCCGGGGTATTTTTGACAAACATTTCTTTTAAGTAAATTTGTTTTATGCCACTGACAGAAAATGACATTTCATATTGTGTCAATTTTTTAATGTTAGAATCTATTCTGAACTCTAAAATTGTGGCTTTTTCAGGTACTCTTTTAAAGTCAAAATCATTCAATATGTTAAACTTGAAATCAAAGGTCAAATTGGTACAGGAGGATGTCTCCCAGAAGAAAAAAGTTGCTGGAAACTGTGTGATAGGTGACATGAAAAAGGAGGGTCTTGTCAGAACATTAGGTAAATCTATGTCATTCAAATCGGAAAACTTGGGTTGCTTAAATGTGACTGAATCAAAAGTGAAAATTCTTTCCCCTAATCTCTCTCGTGTTGAAGAACTAAAGGGACTAAAACAAGCAAAAGAGCAGAACTTAATTGAAAGGAAAAATTCATTCAAATCAGATCGCCCTTTGGTCAGTTCTCCAAGAGCTGTTTCTAGCATGTCTACTCTGAAGAATGATCAAAAAATTAATTCTCGTGCTGAAAATGCATCATTTCTATCCTCTGCAACTAACTTCCGTGATCCAAAACCTGCTCAAGCTGACGGTAAATTAAAAACTTCATCAAAACCGGCCAATCTTGCAAATAAAGGATCAGATATTCGAAATGCTTTAGGTAGAATTTATCTTCTCTTTCTATGAAGCTTGCAAATGGTTATTGTTCTTTCTATTTTCTTTGGTCATTTTATTTTACACTGTTTTCTTTTTGTGCTCAGCTGCATCCAATGAAGTGAAGAGACAGAGTGTGGTTGGTGCTCTATCATCTAATGGAAGGTGCAGTTCTACTGAGCAAAAGCCAAGCCAAGTTAGTCCCAAGGACGAGCCTACATCAAGTTCTTCTGTGTCTGCTGATAGAGCATGTGGTAAACATGATACTCTTCTGCAAGATGGCTTACCTCAATCTCGTGAATCCTTGAATCAGGGGGCAAAGTCCAGGGAGCCACCTCATTTAGGCCATTCAAGGCAAAGTATCTCTGTTGGGGGTCAAAGTGCCCGTTGTCAAAAATGTAAAGGGATGGGTCATGTTGCACAATCCTGCCCAGTTTCTAATTCTCGGGTTTCAGTTCTAGAAGCTTCTGCTGAGAAAATCTCAAAAGAGATGATGGATAAAAGTTGCAAGTTGAAAGAAGCAGTTGAACCCAAGATACTAAAACGACCTGGAATATGCAGAAAGAATAGGTCACCTGAGCAGCTGGATGAATTGTCCATGTCAAGTACTGATTTGAGTACTGAAGTTTCTAAAGATCAATTATCAGCTTCATCAAGTTGCTTGAGAAATAATTCTAGTCAAGGGACTAGTGATGGACAAGAAATTGTCAGGAATTCTGCTGCTGACATCAGTAGAATTACAACTGTCGATAATGTGAAGCAGTATGCCATACACTTAAGAGAAGAAATAATTTCCCCCCAAGCAGGAGAATCAGATCCCTCTTTCTCTGTGGATGCAAATAAGACGAGTTCTTCCATAAGAAACCTTCCTTTTCTAGAATCTTCTGTGGCTGCTCCTTCAGGGATTTCAGTAATTCCTGAACATGATTTCTTATGGCAGTATGATCCTTTATCTGTTCCTGTCTGTTTGAAATTAAATCGTTGTCTCATGGAAACTTATCCAATTTATAATCTAGGTATGCCTTGCTTTTTTTTAGAGTATCTAGCTGACTAGGTCTTTGTATGCAGAGGTTGTTTTGAGGTGCAAAGAAATGGAATACTACCTGATCTCTGTGATGGGATTCAAGCACACTTGTCAACCTGTGCATCGCCTAAAGTCCCTGAGGTGGTGAAAAAGTTTCCTAGCAAAGTCCTGTTGGAGGAAGTTCCCTGCCTGAGTACATGGCCAAGACAATTTGATGATAACCATGCAACAGAAGATAATGTTGCTCTCTATTTCTTTGCCAAAGATATTGAGAGGTCTGTTGTTGTTATGACATTTCTTTCCTTGTTTGAAGTGATGTTTTTCATACTGATATACTTGTTGAACTTGTCATGCTTTGACTTGTCACAGCTATGAAAGATACTACAAGTGCTTGGTGGATAAGATGATCAGGAATGACTTAGCTCTCAAAGGAAATTTTGATGGAACTGAACTTTTGATATTCCCATCAAATAAGTTACCAGATAAATCCCAGCGTAAGAACTGATAACAATATCCTTTACTTTGATGCTGGACTAAACTTTTGCATGCATATTTTCTCCTATCAACATGGTATCTATGCGGAATATGAACTTTTCTGGTGTTATTTTAGTCTAATGTTGCACGCGTCATGATAGCTAAGGAAACCTTTCTTCTTTCTTTTTTATATTCTGGTTTTTTTTGTATGGGTACATGTAGAACAACTCCTTTACTAATTTTTACATGATGCTTTGGCAGGTTGGAACATGTTATTTTTCCTCTGGGGTGTTTTTAGGGGAAGGAGGCCAAATTGCTTGGAACAGACACCTGGGCCTCAGAAAAAGGTCTCTCAAGCCAATCTAGATACGGTATTTGCTCACCAAAACTTGCCAGCTAGTGTCCAGCCTGTACATAAGCAATTACATTTGCCTGGGCAGATGGAGGATTTATCTGCAAGTAATAAATCATTTTGTGGGCCAGAAGCAGACAAATCCACTGCCTCGGTGGAACTGCCATTTTTATCATCTGGAAGACTGGATGGAGATTGTGAACCAAATATATCTTCTCTTGACCATAAGTATACAAGTTCACATAAGAATTTTGATCAGCAAGGTAGTGGACTTGACAACAATTCCATGTCAAGGATCCATACAGGCGATGAGCAGTTGTCAACAAAATCCAACAGCAACACTTTGGTAAAACTTAATTGCCTATTTTATCATATATAGGTCGTAGTAGAATATACCAAGTTCCTTATTGGTTGCTTTTGGTGAAATATCTCTCTTTGAGTGTAATCCATGGTTTAAACTTCTGTGGCTAGTAGCTAACTTTTTCCTACTTTCAGTCCATTATGAGAAACTATGGGAATTGCACTTTAATTGGTGGTTGTGTGTCTCTTGGATAAAAAATTAAAAAGATGATTTCATATAGTTGGCATGTTTATTCAATAACTGGACAGGGGAGATTCTGCAAAATATAGAAAGTAGCACATATTTTTCAGTGTTAAAAATTTCAATAAAATTTGAATGATGTCATCCTTCGGGTTAAAATTTGAATGAAACTCTGAATAGTTTCATTTATATCCTCTTCTGCAAACTCTGAATAAATTCAGTGTTAAAATTATCATATTTGTATAGGTTTCTCTACCTTTTCTTTCAAACCAAACACAAGTTAATAGTACCATTCTGTTGACACTTGGTTAGGCCGTTTGGCTGCTTAAAGTTTGATTAAATTTTCTAACCAGTTTAGTTGACATCTAAATTAACACTGTGTGATCTCAGAGACTGTCTCTGATTTTTAGATTTCTGAAGGGGTTTTTTCCTTCTCATAATTACAATCCTTCTACCTTTTTGTAAGCAGTAGGGTTTTTTCCTTTTCTAATGAAATGCATACGTTAATTATAACAAAAAAAGAATTTCTGAAGGTGTATTAGGTTGGATTTTTTATTGAACAAAAAAAGGTTGGATTTACATTAATTAAATGGGATGACTTTGGGTATGGAGGAAGAAAACATTAAGGAGATACTTGGAGAATATCTTCTCCTTATGTTTCCTTTACTTGGATTGCATTTGGAAGTCTGAAATATTGTCACTTATGTCTGAAATTAATTTCATTAGTGGTTATTCCCATTTTAGCATGTTTGGTTACATCTATGACATGCTTACTTATATCTCTAGTACCATGTTTGGTTGAATCTATGGATAAGTAGTAAAACTAGGAAGGATAGGGTCAGAAATGAAGTCGTATGTAGGAGGCTAGGAGTAGCTCCAATGGGTGATAGAATGAAAGTGGACTGAGGTGGTTTGGTGATGTGCATAGAAGACCATCAACAGCATCCATTATAAGAATTGTAACAAGTTGAAGGGGGCTAGAGCCTAGAAGAGCTAGGGGCAGAATGGAAAGGACTTGAGTGGAACTAGTAAGAAATGATTTGAACGCCCATAATATGAAAATGGATATGGCACTGAACAGTGAACAGAATGGAATGGCGAAACAAGATTCATGTAGCCGGCTCCATATAGTTGGGGCAAGGCTTTGATGATGATGATGAACTTTATTGCATGGATTCTAATGGATGAGGTTGATGTGTCTATGTTGGATACGCATTGGACCGACGTTCCACAAATTCTTGAGGATGCTTTTAAGCAACTTTTCCTTCTAGGGATGAGAATTATTCCATTAAAACTTAAAAATTGAACCAAAAGTGTTGGTTTTGGTTTTTCAGAATTGGAAATTCAGTTAACCAAAAAAAACTGAATTAACCAAATTTCATTGTATAATGTGTATTAAGATATATAATATAATATAATATAATATTATACTATAGATTAATGAAATTCGGTTTTAATCAAAATAACTGAAAACCAAACTGAAAATTTCGGTTTTTAAAAAATTTGGTTTTGGGTTGGTTTTCCCTTTTACACTTTTCCAAAATTTCAAATTAACCAAATGCTCACCCCTATTTCCTTCTTTTTCTCCTCACTTATTTGACATTATGAATGACTAATGTACAAGATGAAAGCTGTTTTCATATAAAATGTTACTTTTTTTATTTTACCTGTTATTTTATCGATTATTCTTAAAGATATTATGTAGTAGAGTTTGTCCCTTTCGTTAGGCTAGTCTTCACTACCTAACCCCTTTCCATTACAAATTTCTTACAATTTTTTATCAGTAAAATGAATTCACTAATTAAACTGAAGTTAAAATTTAGTACAATTGTTGCGGCACTCCAACCAAACCCCAAATATGAAGTTACATTTTTTCCCAAAACAAATGATGTCTATCATCCCCCTGTTTTGCTAGTATATCTGTCATCCCATATTCCCATTGCATTTCTTCCAATCCGGCTGAAGGTGGTATTGAGTTACCTTGTTAGATAACCTATCTCCCTGAATTTCTTGCATTTATTCTCCATTAGTTTGTTCCCTAGTAACTCCTTGTCTTGCAAGTCAACAAGAGTGTTAGCTGTTCTTGGTACCTACTGGCTATTGGTCATTTGCTCCCACCTCCCATACTAGGCTACTTTCTTCTCTTATATGTGGCTACAATTCCAAGTCCCTTGATTGTTCTTGCTTATTCATCCCACAACATTTCTAGAATTTCCCTCCACTTCTTTGTTACTCAAATGAAGTCTTCTACTCAGCCTTCACAGCTGCTAGGTTCAAAAAAAGCAAAAAAGCAAAAAAGCGTGAAATTTTCAAAAGGCGCATGCCTGACTGAGGCACAAGGAACACATTTATGGCGGGAAAGAGACAAGTTGGGCATTCTCTTCTACATTTGCTCACAAGAATTGATTTTCCAGTTGTTTAGCTCCCATCAGAAAGATCTACTTTTAGGAGGGATTGGGCCATGCCAAATGAACTCAACAGGAAAGGCCAATAAGGGATAAGGGAAGAAAGTTAAGGAAAAGAAGAATGAAACACAAGAAAAGGAACCCAATGAAGAGAGGGACCAAATTCTAGTCAGGAGAGGAAAAGTCAAGAAAAACACAATCCAAAAGGGAACCAATAAAATAGGCATGTTTTTATAAATAAAGATGGAATTAATTTTGTGGAGCCGATCCCTCAATGGGTTATTACCCCACTTTCAATTATCAAATAAAAAGGTCATCACCCAATCAAAGACCCTTCCATAGTTTCACTCTATTACGTGCTGAAGCATCATGCTGAATGTGCTGGAGCCATTGACAAGTGCCGCTCTAGCCCTCCAACATCCCCACCATTGAGATTTCAGCCATATATAGTCTCAATAACGGCACGCCACATGTTATTCTACTCCAAAGGGAATCTCCAAAGCCATTTCCCAAGTAGAGCTAAATTCATTTGTTCTGGATTACCCATTCTTAAACCTCCAACTTGCTTAAGTTTGCAAACAGTTTTTTTTTTTTTATCAGTAAAGTAGATTTTATTTATTAATTTAAAAGTATATTACAGTTACTTTGCTACTCTGCTTCCAGAGTACCTCACTTTACAAAAACCCCCATATTACATAGATAAGCACCCCTCTGTTTGATACAGCCGGTTACAGTTTTGCCCAAAATAAAGTAGGCCTATCAACTCCCTGTTTTGCTAGAGTATCTTCCATTCCATTTGCTGTCCTTTTAACCCACCCAAATGTAGTGTTAAAACTCTTAGCAAGAATGTCGATTTCCCTAAATGCATGTCTATTTCCATAGTGCTGCTTTTGCTTGCTTAGCCCAAGAGATGACCGAAAGCGAGTCGCCTTCCACTTCCAATTCTTTTGCTTCTAATTGTTCTGCTAATTTCAGGCCTTGTAAGAGTGTCATTGTCTCTGCCTGAACTGAATCTCCAAACCCAATTGGTCCTGAGAATAAAGCCACAACATCTCCATGATGATTTCTGAAAATTCCCCCTATTCCTGCCTTCCCAGGGTTTCCTAGGGAGCTTCCATCAAAATTCAGCTTCAATCTATTTGGCTCTGGTGGTTTCCAATCCATCTTTATAATTTCTTTATGCGTTTCCATTTGTGCTACTCCCTTCCATTTCCTTACTATATCATTTGTTGAAATGTCTTTGAAGATGTCAACAGTTTCTCACTTGACGAGATGCTCTCTCTTAGAATCCCAAGGTTTCCAAAGAAATTCCCTCATTGATTTCTCAAGTGTCTTTGCCCCGACCTTGGAATCTTAAAACTGAGGTGGTGTTTGATAAATTTGATGTCTGATGTCTGAAAAGTCAAAAAGCTATTATTCAGGTCCGAAATCTGAAAAAGAAGTAGAAATGATTTTCTGCTTTTTAGAGGCTCTGAAAAGATAAGATCATTTGAGTTAAAACAATTCTTCAATGTCTGAAACTGTGAAATTTACTAATTTCTCTTGAATAGACTGTTTGATAAAATTCAAAATATTAAATAAAAATATTATTAAAAATCTCTCTATTAAATAAAATATTAATTTAATAATAATGTTATTATTTATTAATTACAGAAATATTATTTATTCATTATTATTTTATTATTAAATAATGACATTAACTACATAATTATATTAACGTTATTTCATCACCTCTGAAATGTGTTTGAAATTGATTAGATGCGAGACCGTGTTTAACCGCATCCAGACATTTTCCCTCTAATTAGAGGTTAGACATGATCATGTCAAATGCCTCCAATGTCTGACGTTAGACATGTAGAAAGTGTTATCAAATGTCAAGATAATAGATGGATAGGTTGGAAATGGTGGATCTCATAATAATAATCCTTATTATAATTGATTTTTTTTTTATCAATAACTCAACCTTTTATTAATTAATATAATGGAAGATACAATACATCAAATACAGTCGAACTGTTATAGAATTAGCAGATTTTTTAACCCACCCAACCATTATTTCCATATCTCTGGTTAGCCACCTGATCTTCTTCCTTTCATTGTTGAAAATCCACAGTTCTGATCCCCCATTTCGTAACAAGCTAATCACCAGTTTGGAGTCTCCTTCCACAAATAGCTTTTGGATGTTCAATTGTTTTGTCTTTTGAATGCCTTCCACTATTGCCAAAACTTCTGCTCTCATGGAGTCTCCTCCAACTGGAAGATGATACCATCAAAGTTAAGCTTGATAAAACCTCTGTTTGGAGGTGACCAAGTATGATTTATAATTGTCTTATGGGCTGTAGAATCTGCTACTTCCTTCCAGCTTCTCATGAGATCATTTGTTGACACATGAGAGAAGGCTGTTAATGATTTCAGCCAATACACCACTTTAACCTTGATTGTTTCCAAGATATTACTTTTATTTCTTTCTTTATCTGTAAAGATTCTTGCATTTCTTTCTTCCCAAACAGTCCAAAGAACAGCAGCTCTAATGCAGTTCCACATTAACCTCCCTCTCTTTGTTGTCCATCCAAAGGTAGTTGTGTCAAATAGGCGTTGAACATCCGCCGGAGGACTCCACCTGCACCCAAGAAGAGAAAAGCACCAATCCCAAATAGAGGTAGTGAAAGAACAAGAGATAAAAAGGTGGAGGCAACTCTCACCATCAGCCTTACACAATACACACCAATGAGGGGATAAACACCAATTTGGCCGCTTTCTTTGGAGTAGGTCAAGAGTTTTAATCTTTCCATGAACCACTTCCCAACAAAATGCAGCAATCCTAGGTGGAACAGCTTTTCACCACACCTCTTTCGCCGGAAAAGGAGGCAGACCACTATAGGATGATTCTAGCAGAGTTTTAAAGGAGGCACATGAGAAGGACCTCAATGGGGTACAAGTCCAAACTCGGTTATCAGGTCTTGAAGGTTCAACGAAAACTTCTTCCAGTAAATGTTAGAGGCTAAGAAGATACTGAAGTTCTGAGTCTTGGATACCCTTACGGAAACCCAAGTTCCAATTAACCCCATGAGTGAAGCTGGAGATTGGACAAGGAACTTAGAAACTGGCTCTTTTTTGAACCTTGAGAGGGCAAAGAGAGCGGGAAGTTTGTCCTTAAAAGGGAGTCTCCAAGCCTGTTCCCAAAATCTTACATTTGTCCTTAAAAGGGAATCTCCAACTGATTTAGAATTGTGATTTCATACAACTTCCAAGGGAGAGGCGCGAGCTGCAGCCCCTCCTAGAATCTTAAAATTATACTAGGAAAAAAAATACAGGAATCACAACTGAGCCCAAAACAATTCTTCCCTATTTACCCCTTGCTTGGCTAACACATCGGACAAAGTATTTTCTGATCTCCCCACCAACTTTAGTGAGGCCAACATATTCCTTGTCAACCAACTGAATTTCTTCATTTCATTCTTGTAGCACCATATTGCATCTTCAGGATTTTTCAACCAGCCCACCACTACCTTGGAATCCTCTTTAATTATCAGATTCTGTACCTCCAACTGGTTTGCAAATTGCTCCCCTTGTACCGTAGTTAATAGCTCTGCCCTAATAGAGTCTCCAACTCCTAAAGGACCCGAGTAAAGCAAGACAGTCTCTCCATTCTCATCTCTCAGAACACCTCCCATTCCGGATAATCCTGGATTACCCATGCTACTTCCATCAATGTTCAACTTCAATGAGCCTTCAGATGGAGGAAATCAGCTTGTAATTAACTTGTCCTTTAAGGGTGAACACCTTGCTACTACTGACCAGTTTCTCCAAAGGTCATTAAAAGAGAATTGATGAAAGATTTCCAAAGTCTTCAGCCAAAGGGTTGCCCTATGCAACATAGTCTTTCAGTTCCTGACTGCTCCTTTCCTTTACTTGAAAAATTCTAGCATTCATTTCTTCCCAAAGAGTCCAGATTAGGGCAGCGCAAGCGCATTTCCACATAAGTCTCCCTCTTTTTGTAGGCCAAGAGAAAGTAGAATGGTCAAAGACCATGCGAACTTATGCTAGTAAGCTCCAACTACTCCCAAACAACATAAGTAGCCAAGCCCAAAGGTATGCAGAAAATGGACAAGATATTAGTAGATGGTAACAATCCTCCCTGTGAGCTCTGCAAAGGATACACCAGTTGGAAGAAATACAGAAGAAAGGTCTTCTCTTTTGTAGGTTATCTAGAGTGTTTACTTTCCCATAGAATACTTTCCAACAAAACGCCATAATCTTTGGGGGAACTAGCCCAAGAGATGGACTTAAAATTAGAAGCACAAGTAAAGGTTCCTTTGGGTCTAGGAGCCCACACCCTTTTACCTGGCTTGGCGGGATCCAAGCAAACGTGATTAAGGCAACATAGCATCCAGATGTTTGGTTGATCATCTGCAGGTAACCAGTTTGTCAACTTTGTGTTTGTTGAATCTGACCTTTTTGGTACTTGCAGCCTAAAGTGTGTTGATAGGCACCATAATGTGGATTTTGCTTTTGACATTTAGAATCTCCTTTATGTTGAAATCTTATCTCTCAAGCAAGGATTTTGACTGACATTTTCTCAAGAATGCGAAGGACTGGTGATAGATGGAGAAGATGTAGATTAGTAATTTATTAGATATCTGCTAAACAATGAAGGGCCTTGGATATTTCTTCACATTCAAGAAGCAAGGTCATTAGCCTCTAGATTGAGCATCTCATTCAAATGGACTCTGAGATTGGCCAATGACCTTGGTGATTATTGAGCAAGGGAAGGTCTAGGTTGGGATGGTTACAATGGGGCTTGTCAGGTCTTAGGCCACAGCAAAGATGTTGATGCGTCCATTATTGTTTTTCTTTATTGTTTCCACTTTTGGAGTCAATTTTCATGTTGGGTTTTGTCCTCTCTAGGGTCTTTCTAGTAAGAAGGTTTTTTATGCTTTTATTTGTTTTCACTCGTCATACTTGATAAACAATGTACTTTTTATAATAATAAAATAAAGTTCTTACGAAATAGTAAATTCTTCTTGAATCATGTTTAATGTTGCATCAAATTTCTTCATAGACTACATTCAAGCCATATGCATGATCTAAGACTAGAAAAGTAGTTCATCATGTACAATCTTCTCTAATGATTGTTTGGTCTACCTGCAGAAAGAACAGACAAATAAAGAGGGCATGCAAGAAGGGAAGATTCAAACCTGTACTCAAGCAACTACACAAAATGGTAATCTCTATAAAGGTAAATCGGTGCCAGTGGAGTTAAATAATTCACTAGATAGACAAGATGATTCATCTTGTTCTTTAAAGACACCTCCCTTCAGTACATCTCTTTCCCAAGGGTTTGGTGTTGTGGGGGGCACAGATAAACAAAAAATCCCGGAGAGAATGCAGGACGAAATCAGAGATGAAATGAAAATTCAGAAGGAAATGATGAGTCCAGATGGATTGATGGATATTGGAACTGCTTTGAAGAGGACACTGAAAAGTGAATCACTGGACAAAGGAAATTGCAACTGGGAGAGCAATAGCAGGAAACGGCTACACATGGATTCTGCACTGATGATTCAACAAGTTTCTGGTGAAACCTCAAGTTCTAGGAGTCGGGCAACCCTTTGGATGGGGGAGGATCATCTATTGGTTGGTGGAGAAAGTGAAATGAAGAAGATAAAGAGGTGTTCAAGTGTAGTGTATGGTTGTAATAGTTCTAGCGAACAAAATTCTTTCAATGAAAGATTTCCACCTCAGGTACATGATGTGGCTTCTGGCTTCCCTATCAATGAGCAGCAGCAATATGGTGAGCCTTATGAGCGCATGGAGAACTTGAGGACTACTGAAAGGCACTTCTTTCCTTTAGATTTAGGTTCTGTGAAGGACTGTAAACCTAGAGATACTTCTGTGTCATCACAAATTCTTTCATCAAACAATGAAGATCTACTGGGATCTGAAGCCCCAAATCTAGAGCTTGCTTTAGGGGCTGAGAGGAGACCGCCAAAGCAGGGAATGCTACCATGGCTTGTTGGGACGGCAGACAAAAGAAATACCAGAGACCCAGTGGCAAACAAGAAGGTTGACGACGATGGTGTCTCAGCTTCTCTTTCTCTCTCTCTTGCTTTCCCTTTCTCCAGCAAGGAACACACTGTGAAGCCTGTTTCAATAACAGAGCAGCTCTTGCCTGAGGCTCACCGGGTGAACACTTCACTTTTCCTCTTTGGTGGCTTCTCAGACAATTAGATCTGGTTCAATGCACACCTTGTATATTACGGCCCCATGAATTCAGTTGGTTCATGGCAGGAATATATCCTTGGGTTTGATCTATCCCATCTGTTCATAGCCATATATACATTTGTAATTTTTTTTTCATTCTCCCTTCCACCCGTTTTTGTTTCTTTTATTTTCTTTGTTTTCGGGTGCATAGAAACGGCTAGTTGTATATAAAGAGAATGATGGCCAAGGAGTCTTCTTAAATGCCACGCGGGACTCGCAAATTGGTGTGTTTGTAAGTTATACGATTCCTCTTTTTCTTGTTTCTTTTATTTAATTTATTAGCTTAGAACATCACAGACATTGTTGTACTGCTTTTCACCAGGATAACAGGGTGTATGCAAGAGAAGTTTGCAGATGGTGGGGCTGGTAGGGAAAGAGGGGGGCTCCATGCTCAGTGCTTCTACCAACATCTTGTTATATCCCATGGCCCTGCGGATTGTGTGCCATGGTCCTGTTGGCCCCCCTGCACGTTGGAATCAAGTGATAAAAAAAAGTTCAAATATCTTTAAAAGTAGCCCTGAAAAAAAGGTATATGAATAGGAATGCCTATAGGAGAGAATCTAAAATGGAATTAGATGGTCAATGGGAGATATAGAGGAATTTGACCCTAGTTGCAAATTTTGCAGAGAAAAATGAAGATGCATGACATCTATTTTTGTAAAATGTAAACTACAAATTGGGAACATAAATTTGGCTATTGGTAGAAGTGCCTGAAGTATGGAAATAATAGTGCTTATCAATAGTTAAAAAAATGGTTCCTCAAAAAAATAGTAAAAAAGAAAATGGAATGGAGTAAGAAGAAAGTAAATAGAATGGCCTATAAAAATAAAGTTTTCTAATTTCTGCTATAAAAAATGATGATTTAATTTTCAATGAGAAGAACCATACCTATGTAAAGCAGTGGAGTCCACCCCAAATGCTTTTAATTGAATATCAACCAGCACATTAAATAAAATATTGGAAAAAACAGGATAAGGAAGTCTAGTTAAATGAAAACCGGGAAGATCAACTTTGATGAATCACTGAAGGGGAAAAAGGGAACAACAATCTGATGCATGTCAAGAAACAGATCGCATAAGGAATACAAGATAAAGAAGCTATTGGAAGAACATGCATAGAGGCAGGGATGTCGAGGAAGGAAAATGTTGTCAATGTTATTTGATATGGTAAATTGGTAATCAAATCTTGTTATAACCATTGCATTAAGAATCTCCTTACGATATATACTTGATTGATTAGTCATTGTCAAACAATACTAACTTTCAACTAAGGTTCAAAGTATCGACACATATCGGCCGATACGTATCCTTCTGGGACCCCTCTGATATGCCCCTACAGTGGGTGTATCGGGGTCTGCCCCCCCTGAACCGGTTTTGAAAAAAAATAAAAAAAAAGTTAAAAAAAAAGTAACGATTTGCCCGATACGCCCCTACCGGTGTATCGGGCGTATCGATATTTTGAACCTTGCTTTCAAGCTATCATCAAACTTAATAATTTTGTAATGACCCGAGTGTTAAATGAGTCAAATTTAAAAATCCATACCACTATTAAAGGTAATTGAGATCATAGTACTTTTTCCTAGACTAAAATACCCCTAATTTTGAATTTGGTTCCTCTTTAATTAAGAAAATATAATTTAAGCAATTAAGTTATTGCTTTTTATATCCAAATAAAAAAAACTAAAAATATTAAACCCATGTTTTTTAAAACTAGCACAAAAACGAAATTGTTCTTCAGTGTAGATGGCAAATAAGCAATTCAACCATATAGGTCAAATGGATTAACCCTATGGTGTCATGGTTGAATAATAAATTTTTCAAAATAAAAATAAATACAAAAAATTTAAAAAGTAAAAGGATTGGATGCATCTATTTTAATCATATTAAAGAAAAATAAGTGGGATAAACAACAAATGTTTTTATTGATGATGAAAATGAACACACAAAATTTAAAGTTGACCTAAAAATAAAATTGTTTTCTTACTTTGTGATGGGCATTCAAACTTTTGAGTCAAACTGTCAATCTTTGATGCCATAATTAAATAATAAAAATTAAAAATGATAAAATTACAAAAAAAAAATTGTAGAAAAAATTTGGGCACATCTGTAATATTTTAAATTGATCATATTAAAGAAAAAAAGTCTGATAAACAAAAATTTATTCTATTGATGATTGAAATGAAATACAAATTTAAAATTAACCCAATTACTTTTTTATTTATTTGCGGGTCAATATTTCAACCTTTTGGATCAATATGTAAAACTCTTGATGTCATAATTAAATAGTAAATTTTAAATTTAAATAAAAAACAAAAAAATATAAAAATTTTGTAGAAAACATTTGGGCACATATATAATATCATATATTCTTCATAGTATTGAAAATTCATTGTATTGCAAGGTTCTCTTTGTCTTTACCACTGTTTCTATTTTGGATACCTAAATAAGGGAACTATTATAATTTGTCATTATGTTAAATTTTTTGGTGTGTAGGTGTGAACAGAAAATACCACATTTGAACCCTTCTTTATCAAAGCAACTCTTATTCATGGGAAGACCTTTTTCTGCTAACCCAAATTATAGTGGAGACTTGCTAATACGGGCTCGTAACAAGGTTCAAAATATGGGAAGACCTTTTAGGAATATTCTGGTATGACTCTTGCAACCAAGGTTCAAAATAAATCATTTGTTTTATTTCTTTTCGTATGTATCGGCCAATACGGGCTCGTAACAAGCTGTTTCGGATTTATATCGTTCAATATGGGCCCGAAACAGTCTGATACAATTCGGTACATTTGATCATTTCTGTTCATCATTAATTTCATTAATCAATATTTAATACTGAATCTCTCATTAATGTTGTTACTCATGTATTTAACTCTAATTTATCTTTCATTAATTAATCAATTACTCCAAGCGCCTAATGCAAATTCTCTCATTAATTCCTTTAATTAATTATCCCCTTTCATTAATTTCATTTTGTTAGTGTAAAAACTTCAAATTTTAGCTATAGCAAGATTTAAACCCTAGTCACTTGATTTTAACAACCACAAGTTTGCCAATGAGCCACATATTTGTTTGCTATGACCATATGTATTTTTAATTTTAAGTAAATTTTCACTTTTCTTAATGAGTGACAAGTGTTTATTAATAAATGCTAGAATTAATTATTAAAATTTATATACTAATAAATATTATGATTAATTATATTGGTTTTTTGAAAATTGACATTCATATTTTAGTTTTTTTTTGTTTTTTTTTTAACATTTTAGTTATTCACACTTTATATAAACCATTAAATTATGGTTTAATGATGTGTTGTTCTTCAAAGACAAATTTCCTTTTGCCAACACACCAATCGTGGACGGCACTATGGGAAATGTCAGAGGTGTTGATAACACTACCAACGATGTTGAAGATGTTAGTAATTCCACATCCAATGGTAATCTGGAGCCCATATCACATGTTGACAGTCCATCACTAGATTAATTCATCCATTTCACTACATGACCCATCGGATCCATTGCCTGGACCGCCCTTACAAACCACTAAGCAATGCCCCACTCGCACCAAAAGACCACCACCACACTTAGTTGACTTCCATTGTCCCTCAATTAAGCACATCTCAAAGTCCACCATTGCGAACTCTCATCCCTTATCTACTTGCCACCCCATTTCTGATGCATCACCATGAACCCCCATCAGCCTTCACCACAACTCTCTTGGACTCACCTACTGAACCCACTACCTACCATCAAGCCAAACAGTTTGACTATTGGTGCAAAGCCTTGGCTGTTGAACTTATAGCCCTTGGAACGAACACACAAATGGACCCTAACCTCTCTACCCTCTAGCAAAGTCCCCATTGGCTTTCAATAGGTAAAGTTACCGATGGTTCTGACAAGCGCTATAAATCATACTTAGTAGTCAAGGGCTACACACAAATGGTTGGAATTAATTATAATGAAACCTTTACACTAGTAGCCAAGCTTACTACTATGCGGTGTTTGTTGCACTAGCCACTACCTGGGACTAGAAAGTCCATCAAATGGATATAGACAATGTGCTCCTTCACGGAAAGTTACATGAGGATGTTTACATGGTACCTTCCCCCAATTTGCTCTTAACTGATGGCACTCGAGTTTGTTGCATTAATAAATCCATTTATTATCTCAAACAGGCTTCTCACAACTAGTTTGAGACCCTTGCACAAGCACTCAAGCAATAAGGATTCATTCAATCATCTGTTGATCATTCCCTCTTGACATGTATTCAATCCGACAGTTTTCTAGTTGTTCTTGCCTCTGTCAATGATTTGGTCATTGCTAGGAACAACTCCTCACGTATTGCTGCCCTTAAACCTGATCTCCGTCATTGCTTTCCCATCAAGTATCTTGGTCCTTTACGATATTTTCTAGGGATTAAGGTCTGTCGTAGTTTTGATGGCATCTTCTTGAGTCAACAAAGACTGCGATATGTTAGGCCAAGTTCCTTCCCCCTAGAACAGCAGCATCACCTCATGCTAGATGATGGGACACCAATTGACAACCCAACCCAGTACAGAAGACTCATTGGACAACTCATATATTTAACAATTATTCATCTCGAGATCACATATGTTGTCCACATCTTAAGTCAATTCATGGGGGACCCATGTTAACAACACTAAGATGCTGCTATGCATGTCTTCTGCTACCTTAAAGAATCTCGAATCCTACTTCCTACTACTTGTGATTTCCAGTTGAGGGCTTATTGTGACTCCGATTAGGCTGGATGTCCCTCTATAAGAAAATTCACATCTGATCACTTCACTTCACTACTCTTGGTATTTCTCCAATATCTCGGAAGACCAAGAAGCAGTCTATTGTTGCTCATTCCTCAGCTGAAACTAAATACTTTGCTATGGCAGCCATTACGGTAGAATTGTTATGGCTCAAACGTCCCTTCAAAATTAACAACCCAATATTTCATGAACGAACAAAGCATATCAAGATAGACTATCATTTAATCTATAAAAAGTTACTCTCCAATACAATTACCACAGCACATATCTCTTCTACAGTACAACCAGTTGATATATTTACAAGGCTCTTGGTCATGACCGATCCTTAATTCCCAAGTTGGGCATTCATCATTCCAATGCTCCAATTTGAGGGGGCATATTACAGATAACTAAAATTAGTTAGAATATTGTTACAGTTGTATTTCCAAGTGTACAGTGCATAGCTGTCTTGTACAAGTGAATTAAATCAATTGGGCTCTATCTCCCCTGTATCTATAAATAATTGCTGAAAATGTAATACAATTATATTTTTCTCTTCTTTGAATCATATATTTCTTATACTTCATGCTAAACATAAACCCCAATCACTACCTAAAGATAAAAAAGGACCAAGAAAACTCACAGAATAAGCACTCCCCAAACGAGGGAGAGAGTGAACGGAAATTAGATGTTTTATCAACTTTTTGCAATTATGTTGGTCTCAGTATTTCAATCTTTAATTAGGTAGATATTTAAATATTTATTGATGAAAGAAGATTTGGCCCAACCTCGCAATTACGCCACGTGGCAAAAAACAAGTAGCACGGCACTTAAAACAGCGTACCCAGGTGCAAACACCAAAGGGAAGAAACTAGCAGTCCGAACTCCCCTCGAGGAGACCGAACTCCCTTCGAGGAGCCCGAACTCCTTACGAGGAGCCTGACCTCCCTACTAAGAGCTCGAACTCCCTACTAAGAGCTCGAACTCTC